TGGGTGGTTAACCGCACGAAAAAAATGGTGACCGAGTGGGCGCGATAGAAACACCGGTTCTTTTGGGGGACAACCTGCAGGCGACAAAGACTTTACGTGGTGTGGTTATTTCCGACATTTGTAGGTGGACCCAGCTGTCAGGCATATATACTATAGTCTGTGTAGGCTGTAGTGGGGCAGTTCATATGGGGTACAACACTTTAGGGTTTACTACTTGTACTCCTCATTCTGCTCAATGCATTCATTCCTCGTTTCTTATCATGGTATCGAGCAGGTTCCCTAGTGGGAACGCTACCTAGGGCCCACCACGATATTTTTTTTTCCTGCTCGGAGCGCGCTTCACTCCTGCCCGAGTCGCGCTCTGTGTGCCCTCCCTACCTTCGCGCCCCCTTAGTGGCCCCTCTCACGGCCCCTTACGCCGCTCTTACGGCCCCTAGCGCCGCCCTCTACGGCCCCTCGCGCCGCCCTTACGGCCCCTTACGGCCCCTCGCGCTGCCCTTACGGCCCCTTACGGCCCCTCACGCCGCCCTTACGGCCCTCGCGCGGCCCCCTTTCGGCCCCTCGCGGCGCCCTTTCCGGCCCCTTACGGCCCAGTCGCCGCCCCGTTTAGGCCCCTTGCGGCCCCTCTTCGGCCCCGTCTAGGCCCCTTGCGGCCCCCTCTGCGGCCCCGTCTAGGCCCCTTGCGGCCCCTCTACGGCCCCTCTGAGACCCCATCGCCGCCACCTGCGGCCCCGTCGCCGCCACCTGCGGCCCCGTCGCCGTCACTTGCGGCCCCGTCGCCGCCACCTGCGGCCCCGTCGCCGCCACCTGCGGCCCCGTCGCCGCCCCCTGCGGCCTCGTCGCCGCCACCTACGACCACGCAGCCGCCACCTGCGGCCCCGCCGCCACCTGCGGCCCCGTCGCCGCCACCTGCGGCCCCGTCGCCGCCACCTGCGGCCCCGTCGCCGTCACCTGCGGCCCCGTCGCCCTCCCCTAGCGGCACTGTCACCGCTCAGCCGCCCAGCGACCGAGCCGCCGAGCAGCCCAGCAGCCGAGCCGCCCACCTGCCGAGCAGGCGAGCCGCCCAGCAGCCGAGCCGCCCAGCAGCCGAGCCGCCGAGCAGCCGAGCCGCCCAGCAGCCGAGCCGCCCAGCAGCCGAGCCGCCGAGCCGCCCAGCAGCCGAGCCGCCCAGCAGCCGAGCCGCCCTGCCGCCGAACCGCCCTACTGTCGAGCCGCTGCTGTTCCTACCGATGCGCCCCGACCCTCCTTCCTCGGACTGGTGAGCTCACTCCCTACTAGGCCACTGCAGTCATGGCTACCCCCAGTGTCCTTACTTTTAATGCTGAGGGACATGCCGATGACTTTGAGGTCTGGGTCGATGACCTCCAGCTGACGGACTCTCTCTGTTCGATCTCACCTCTGGTGCCTCTCCTGCCCCGCCTGCTACTGCTGACAGCACTGTTCGCTCACAGTGGGCCACACGCGATGCTGCTGCTCGCCTTGCTGTGCGTCGCCACTTACCGACCACTGAGCGTGCACACTTTAGCCAGTACAAGAGTGCTCAGACCTTGTACGACGCTGTAGTTGCACGCTACTCTTCCCCTGCCATTGCTGCACTGAGCCGCCTCATGCTACCGTACCTCTTCCCTGACCTTGCTGCCTTTCCCTCAGTCGCTGACCTCATTACGCACCTCCGCACTAGTGACACTCGCTACCGCGCTGCGCTTCCTGCTGAGTTCTGCGCCAAGAACCCCCCCCCCCCATGTACATCACCCTCTACTACATAGTCACCCGGCTCCCTGACTCTCTCCGCGTAGTCAGGGACCACTTCCTCTCAGTTTGCCCCACCACTCTCACCGTTGACCTCCTCGAGAAGGCCCTCCTAGCAGCAGAGAAGAGCATAGTCGTTGTAGGAGCCTCTCGTGGTGACCCTCACACCCCCGTCTTTGAGGGGTGTTCCCCCTCCCCCCTCTTGCCCTCTGTTGCCTCTACTGCTGCGGCCGACCTCGTTGGTTTCGAGTCGGTCGGCGCTGCGTCTGCCCCGAGCGGGAGACGCCGCACCGGCAAGGGCAAGGGGGGCAAGGGCGCTAGAGGGGCTGGCGGGGGCGGTGGAGGTGGCGGTGGAGGCAGTGGAGGGGGTGGGGGTGGTGGTGGGAGTGGTGGCGGGGGTGGAGGTGTCGGTGGCAGCAGTGGAGGCGGAGGAGGCGGCGGCGGTGGCGGAGGGAGCGGAGGCGGCGGAGGTGGCGGAGGCGGCGGCTGCAGCAGTGGACCTGGTCGCAGCTCTGTGCAGATGAGTGGCTCCGGTGGTGGTACGCGCCAGCAGCAGCAGCGCAGTCGTGAGACCCTGTCCCCTCAGCAGCTTCGTGACTAGTACGCTGCGCGTCAGCGCGGTGGGGGTACTGGTCCCTGCACCTACGTTCTCAGCACCGGCGACCGCGCTGGTGAGCAGTGCGGGGGCCCGCACTCCACCCAGCGCTTCTTCGGCCGCCTGACGGACGCGTGGCGTCACCAGTTCCCTGAGGCCTCTGAGATCCCTCGCTGGGGAGAGCTGTCTAGGGCGGGGGTTGCTATCTTTGATCTTGATTATGATGCTATTCTTGCTGCCATGTATGCTGTTGCTGATAGTGTTGAGGGTGACTGTTACCTATGTGTTCCGCCTGACCCGGGCATTGAGCCTGCTGCTCTAAGTGCTGGTGAGGCTGCTGCTCTAGGTGTTGGTGAGTCTGCCCTCTCAGGTACCACGTCGGCTCAGGCCTTACACACCTTCACCCTTGACTCGGGTGCTTCCCGCTCCTTCTTTCGGGACCGCACCACACTTACGCCACTTAGTCGGCCGGTTGCGGTCTCCCTGGAGGACCCCTCTGAGGGTCCTATCCTTGCTCGCTTCTCCACTGTCTTACTCTGTCCGGCAGCCCCCTCTGGCACCCTATCAGGTCTCTACCTCCCCTCGTTCTCTACGAACTTTGTGAGTGGCGCTGATCTACAGGATAAGGGGGTTGACCAGTTCACTCCTGCGAGTCAGCGGGTGACCCACTGCACGTGTGCTCGGACAGGCCGACACTTGGCCACGTTCACCCGTCCGCCGGGGTCGAGCCTGTACACCCTCACTACTGAGTCTCCTCCGGCTGCTGAGCCTGGTCAAGTCGCTGCGTCGAGTCAGGTGTTTGCTGCAGCGTCCAGGTCTAGTCCTGAATCTGCTCCTTGCTCGTGTCGTCTCCTGTCTCACCAGACTCTCCTTTGGCACCACCGCCTTGGTCACCCCTCTCTGCCTCGTCTTCGAGGCATGGCCTCCCGTGTCCTTGTCTCTGGTCTCCCCCGATCTCTCCCTCCTTTACATTCGGTGCCTGCCCCTACCTACGTCCCCTGCGTCGAGGGGCGACAGTGCGCCGCCCCTCACTTCTCCGAGTTTCCTCCGACGGAGCCTCCGTTGCAGACTCTTCACATGGACGTGTGGGGCCCCGCCCACGTCCGTGGCCAGGGGCACGAGCGTTACTTCCTGTTGGTGGTTGACGACTACTCGCGTTACACCACGGTCTTCCCCTTGCGCAGCAAGGGCGACATCACTGAGGTGTTGATCGACTGGATCCGCGCTGCTCGTCTCCACCTCAGAGAGAGTTTCGGCTCGGACTTTCCTGTTCTGCGTCTGCACTCTGACAGAGGCGGGGAGTATTCCTCTGCCCGTCTGGGAGCCTTCCGTTGGGCACAGGGCATCCGCCAGACCTTCACGCTTTCGGCCTCTCCACAGCAAAATGGGATTGCTGAGCGCCGCATTGGCATGGTCATGGACGTCGCTCGTACGTCCATGATCCATGCGGCTGCCCCCCATTTTCTATGGCCGTTTGCGGTTCAGTTCGCGGCGCATCAGCTCAACCTTCAGCCCCGAGTCTCCTTGCCAGAGACCTCTCCCACCTTGCGGTGGACGGGGAAGGTTGGCGATGCGTCTGCGTTTCGGGTCTGGGGATCTCGAGCGTTTGTCCGCGACTTGTCTGCGGACAAGCTCTCCTCCCGTGCTGTTCCCTGCGTCTTCCTTGGCTTCCCCCCTGACGCGCATGGTTGGCAGTTTTACCACCCCACCTCGCGCCGTGTTCTGTCCTCCCAGGACGTCACGTTTGACGAGTCGGTGCCCTACTACCGTCTCTTCCCCTACCGCGCCGCGCCCCTTCCCCCGCCACCGCTCTTCCTTGGACCAGGTCCTCCCCCGGTAGACCCCCTCCCCCCTCAGGGTCCTGCCCCGTCAGGTGTGTCCTAGGTAGACGCAGTCGAGCCTGTCGAGGTAGCTGTTGACTCTGCTGCTGCTAGAGGTACTGAGCCTGCGGGTGCCGGGTCTGGGGGTGCTGAGCCTGGGGGTGCTGAGACTGGGGATGCTGAGTCTGGGGGTGCTGAGTCTGGAGGTGCTGAGCCTGGGGGTGCGGAGCCTGAGGGTGCGGAGCCTGGGGGCGCTGGGTCTGCTCGTGTGGCCGTCGGCGGTGTTTCGTCAAGGCAGGAGCCACTCTCTCCGCAGGAGTTGCGCGAGTGGTTTGCCCCGCGCTGGAGCCGCGCTGCTGGAGCTGGACGCACTACTGTTGCTACTGGTCCCGGAGGTGCTCGTACTGGCGGTGCTGGAGCTGCTGGGCCTGGGGGTGCTGCTGGGGCTGCTGGAGTTGGTCCTGCTGGAGCTGCTGGCGGTACTGGAGCTGCCGGTCCTGCTGGAGTTGGTGCTGCTGGAGCTGCTGGAGCTGGAGCTACTGGGGGTGTTGGCGTTGGTGGTTCTGCTGGCGCTGGTGCGTCTGAGGGTGCTGGAGTTGGCGCTGTTGGAGCTGGAGGTGCTGCTAGCGCTGGTGCTGCCACTGGGGGTACTGGTGCTGTCCCTGCTGGTTCTGGAGGCACTGCGCGGCCGCGGCCGTACTTTGTTCCGCTCCTTGAGCAGGTTCTTGGTCTCCCGCCTTCTACTAGTCCTGCTCCTCCCTTAGAGTGTCCATAGCCTGTCAAGTCGCAGTCACAGTTACAGCCCGCCTCCCCTCTACCTGCTCCTTCTCCCTACAATGGTCCTACTCTTGGTCTTGCTGAGCGTCGTGAGCGTGCGTCTCGTCCTGCGTCGCCTGTTCGCACTGCTCGCACCAGTCGTTGTGTTCCGCGTCCGCTTCCTCCTGCGGTTCCGGGAACCCACCAGATGGCATTGCGTCCTTCCACAGCTCCCCTTCGTGTCCCGTTGCCATCTCCTCCAGAGTCCTCTCTTCCTGTCCTTCCTGACCCTGAGTCTGACTCTCTTCGTGCTTCCAGTCCTACTATCACGCGTCTCCTGGCCAGTGTTGTCACTGACCCTTCCTTTGAGTCCACTCCTGTGTCTGCCTTAGTGGCTGAGCTTGTCGACTTCGCTGCTCGCTGTCGTCTAGACTACGCCACTAGTCTTGTTGTTGAGTACGAGTCAGTCTGTCCTCCGTCCGTCGGGGGTGGGTGTGCTCTTAGCACGGACGTCCTTGAGGACATGCAGGAGGAGTTCCACTGTTTTGCTGCTGCTTTGCCTCATCTCGTGTCCACGCTGATTGCCCCTGAGGGAGACCCGGATGCACCAGACATCCCGACTCCTCGATCGTACGCTGAGGCGATCGAGGGTCCCTACTCCTCTCAGTGGCAGTCAGCCATGGACGCAGAGATGGCTTCCTGGAAGTCCACAGGCACCTACGTTGACGAGGTTCCCCCACCTGGGGCGAACATCGTCAGTGGCATGTGGATTTTCAGGGTGAAGCGGCCGCCGGGTTCTCTGCCTGTCTTCAAGGCGCGTTACGTGGCTCGAGGCTTCAGTCAGCGGCAAGGAGTTGACTAATTTCAGACCTTCTCTCCCACCCCGAAGATGACCACTCTTCGGGTGCTGCTGCACATAGCCGCTCAGCGCGACTACGAGCTTCACTCTCTTGACTTCAGCACTGCTTTCCTGCAGGGCAGCCTGCACGAGGAGATCTGGCTGCGCCGCCCACCTGGCTTCACTGGGTCGTTTCCTCCTAGTACCCAGTGGAGCCTCCGGCGGCCAGTCTACGGCCTCCGTCAGGCGCCCCGTGAGTGGCACGACACACTGAGGACTACACTTGCGGCTCTTGTGTTTGCTCCTTCTACAGCCGACCCGGCGCTGTTTCTGCGCAGAGACACCTTTTTGCGCCGTTCTACATCCTCGTGTACGTCGACGACTTGGTCTTTGCCACTGCTGACACTGCCGCACTCGCCCACGTGAAGTCCGAGCTGCAGAAGAGACACACGTGCACAGACCTGGGTGAACTGCGCAGGTACCTTGGCTTGCAGATCACCCGGGACAGAGCACAGCGCACCATTACCCTAACTCAGTCACACATGGTGCAGTAGGTCCTTCCGCGCTTCGGCTTCACGTACTCCTCGCCTCAGGCCACTCCTCTGTCTACTCGCTGTTGAAATGAACGAACAGGAATGATTGAACTAACAGTGAAATCAGTACAAGTACCTAACCCTAGAATTGTGTACCCCCTATAGGCTAACCCACTATAGCCTAAACAAGCACAACATATATAATGTTTGACACAGCCCCATAGGCGAAGTGGGGGAGAACTAGGGGTCACAAGACCAGTCAAGTAAAGCAAAGCAAAGCAAGCTCAGGGTGGATCACAAAGTCACCACACATTCCGAGCACAATTTCAAGGCCACAAGGCCAGGTCACATGCAGGAGTAACGGTACAAGCAAGGTCAAGAGGTGAGCAAGTGAGGCAAGACAGGTACAAGACCCAGCTGGGTGCAGAAGCGCTGATGATCACAAGGCGCAAGTGCCTTGGTGAAGACATCAGCAGTGTTGGCCTCAGAGGCCACGTACGCAAGCCGCATCTGACCACGCTGCTGTAGCTCACGAGCAAGGAAGTAGCGGAGAGCAATGTGCTTTGTTCTGTGCTCCAGTCTCTGCTCTCGACACAAGGCCAGCATGGCCTTGTTGTCTACGTACAGGACTGGAGGAGAACGAGGCGGCTCTCCAAGGTCGGTCAGCAGGTAGGTGAGCCAGCGAAGCTCCTGAGCAGCCATGGCCCCTGCGTAGATCTCAGCCTCACAACTGGAGCCAAGAACACAAGACGAGCGAGTAGCCCGCCACGAAACAGAGCCGGAACCAAGGCTGAAGGTGTAACCCTGTGACGACCGCTGCGTAGCCTGGTCGTCAGCCCAAGAAGCGTCTGCGTGACCAGTGAGGACCACTGGACTCCGCCCTCCAAGCACTAGCCCCATGCCCGACGTACTGCACAAGTAGCACAACACCCTCTTCGCTGCAGCCATGTGCTCTGGTCGGTGTCTCCCAGGAGCAACATAGCGTGCGAGAATGCTCAGAGGGTATGCAAGGTCAGGTCGTGTGCAGGTCATCAGGTACATGAGGCAGCCAACAAGCTCTGGGTACAAGCCACTTGACTCTACGGACTCATCCGAAGGCAGAGCTGAGAGTGACTGGCGAGTAGACAGAGGAGTGGCCTGAGGCGAGGAGTACGTGAAGCCGAAGCGCTGAAGGACCTGCTACACCATGTGTGACTGAGTCAGGGTGATGGTGCGGCGTGCTCTGTCCCGGGTGATCTGCAAGCCAAGGTAGCTGCGCAGTTCACCCAGGTCTGTGCACGTGTGTCTCTTCTGCAGCTCGGACTTCACGTAGGCGAGTCCAGCAGTGTCAGCTGTGGCAAAGACCAAGTCGTCGACGTACACGAGGATGTAGAACGGCGGCAGAGAAGTGTCGGTGCGTAGAAACAGCGACGGGTCAGCAGTAGAGGGAGCAAACCCAAGAGCCGCAAGCGTAGTCCTCAGTGTGTCGTGCCACTCACGCGGTGCCTGGCGGAGACTGTAGACTGGCCGCTGGAGGCTCCACTGGGTGCCAGGAGGAAAAGTCCCAGTAAAGCCAAGTGGGCGGCGCAGCCTGATCTCCTCGTGCAGGCTGCCCTGCAGGAAGGCAGTGCTGAAGTCAAGAGAGTGTAGCTCGTAGTCACGGTGAGCAGCTACATGCAGCAGTACCCGAAGAGTGGTCATCTTCGGGGTGTGAGAGAAGGTCTGAAAGTAGTCAACTCCCTGCCGCAGACTGAAGCCACGAGCCACGTAACGCGCCTTGAAGACAGGCGGAGAACCCAGCGGCCGCTTCACCCTGAAAATCCACATGCCACTGACGATGTTCGCCCCAGGAGGGGGGACAGCGTCAACGTAGGTGCCTGTGGACTTCCAGGAAGCCATCTCTTCATCCATAGCTGCCTGCCACTGAGAGGAGTAGGGACCCTCTACGGCCTCCGCGTAAGAGCGCGGAGTCGGGATGTCAAGTGCATCCGGGTCTCCCTCAGGGGTAAGCAGTACGGACACAAGATGAGGTGAAGCAGCAGCCAGACACAGAAACTCCTCCTGCCTGTCCTCAAGGACGTCCGTGCCAAGGGCACACTCACCCCCGACGGACGGAGGACAGACAGACTCAAGCTCAGCGACAAGACTAGCAGCGTAGTCTAGACGACAGCGAGCAGCAAAGTCGACGAGCTCAGCAACTAGGGCAGACGCAGCAGTGGACTCAAAAGAAGGGTCAGTGACGACAGTAGCAAGGAGACGCGTGATAGTAGGACTGGCAGCACGAAGAGAGTCCGACTCCGGGTCGGGAAGAGCAGGAAGAGAGGACTCAGGAGGAGAAGGCAAAGGGGCACGCAGAGGAGCAGTGGACGGACGCAGAGACAACCACTGCGTGCCAGGGACTGGAGGAGGACGCTGACGCGAACCGCAACCACTAGTGCGAGCAGTACGGACAGGCGACGCAGGGCGAGACGCAGGCTCATGACGCTCAGCAAGACCTCCAGTAGGACCAGTGTAGGGAGAAGGAGCAGGCAGTGGGGAGGCGGGCTGTAACTGTAACCGTGACTGGACAGGCTGTGGACACTCTAAGGGAGGAGGAGGACCGAGAGAAGGCAGGAGACCAAGAACCTGCTGAAGGAGCGGAACGAAGTACGGCCGCTGCCGTGCAGCAACTCCAGAACTAGCAGAGACACCAGCGCCAGGGTCCTCCGCACCAGCAGCAGCTCCAACGCCCGACTCCACAGCACCAGCACCAGCACCAGCTCCAGGGTCCTCAGGACGAGCAGCAGCTCCAACGCCCGGGTCCTCAGTACCAGCAGCAGCTCCAACGCCCGGGTCCTCAGCACCAGCAGCAGTACCAGCGCCCGGGTCCGCAGCACCAGCCGTAGCTCCAACGCCCGGGTCCGCAGCACCAGAAAGAGCTCCAACCTCTGGGGCCGCGGCACCAGCAGAACCAGTAGAGTCTCCAGCACCAGTAGCACCACCAGCAGCAGCGGGGTCCGCGACACCAGGCGCGCCACTCCGAAGAGTGCAGCGCCGCTCGTACCACTCACGGATCCGCTCACGAGAGGGGAGCTCCCGGCTAGGAGGAGAAGCACTAGCACCAGACCCAGTAGTACGCCTGGCTCCAGAGGTACCTCTCCTGAGGCTGCAGTACTGGAAGTACCACTCACGCAGCTGCTCCGAGGAGAGGGCTCTGCCAGGAGTAGGACCCTCAGGCTCAGGACCTCCAGACTCAGAACCCCCAGACTACGGACTCTGCGGCTCAGCACCCCCAGGCTCAGTACTCCCAGGCTCAGCACCCCCAGGCTCCGCACCCCAAGTCTCAGCACCCCTTGGCTCCGCACCCCCAGGCTCCGCACCCCCAGGCTCCGCACCCCCAGGCTCCGCACCCCCAGGCTCCGCACCCCCAGGCTCAGCACCCCCAGGCTCCGCACCCCCAGGCTCAGCACCCCCAGGCTCCGCACCCACAGCAGGACGAGAGTCGACAGCTACCTCAACAGGCTCAACCGGGTCTACCTGAGACACACCTGAGGGAGCGGCACCCTGAGGGGGGAGGGGGTCTACGACAGCAGCACCTGGCGCGAGGAAGAGAGGCGGGGGGGGGAGCGGGGCAGTGCGGTAGGGGAAGAGGCGGTAGTAGGGGACGGACTCGTCAAAAGTGACGTCCTGAGAGGGCAAGACTCGGCGCGAGGTGGCGTGGTAAAACTGTCAACTAGGCGCGTCCGGGACAAAGACGAGGAAGACGCAGGGAACAGCACGGGAGGAGAGCTTGTCCGCAGACGTATCGCGGACAAAAGCTCGAGATCCCCAGACCCGGAAACGCAACGCATCGCCAACCTCCCCCGTCCACAGCAGTGTGGGCGAGGTCTCCGGCAAGGAGACACGGGGCCAGAGGTTGAGCTGATGCGCAGCGTACCGGACCGCAAACGGCCACAGAAAGTGGGGGGCAGCTGCATGGATCATGGAGGTACGGGCGACCTCCATGACCAGGCCAATGCCGCGCTCTGCAATCCCATTCTGTTGTGGAGAGGCCGGAAGCGTGAACGACTGCTCAATGCTGTGCTCAGCATGGGTGGGAGGGGAGGGAGGACTCTGGGAAGACCGGAGACAAGGTACCGGGAGTGCATGGCACGAAGGCGCTGCACAGACGGGTGGCCAAGTCGGTGGTGCCAGAGGACAGTCTCGTGCGCCAGAGAGCGACACAAGCAGGGGGCAGACAGCTGACCTGACGCGGACGCAGATGCAGACGCAGCGACCTGAGGGGACTCAGTGGTCATTGTGTACAGGTCCGACCCCGGCTGCCAAGTGAAGGTAGCCAAGTGGCGGCCCGTACGAGCACACGTGCAGTGTGTCACGCGCTCGTAGGCAGGGGTGAACTGGTGAACACCCCCGTCCTGGAGTGCACTACCTGCCACCAAGTTCGTAGAGAACGAGGGGAGGTGGAGACCTGACAGTGTGCCCGACGGGACCGCAGGACAGGGAAGGACAATGTTTGACACTCGCCACTCGCTC